CCAAGCCACGGCTTTTAGCGCACCGCGATAGATTCAAGCGCATTCAGATTTAGTATAGTGAGGATAGAAACGCGCCGAGGGTCGACCTCACTCTCTCCTCCACCGTATGGCAACCGCCTAGCTACTCGAGGGGAGGCACGCACACACACATACACACCAGGAGACACATAACCAGAGAATTAGTAGGAACCGGCGCTCCCTGACCCCCACTGTCACTCATCAGCCCCTTTACACACACTTTACACATTAGTGAAGAGCATAACACAGAGATGTAGCATAGGAAAGAATTCAGTCAGCAGGCCGCAAGAGTACAGGCCCTATCGTCAGACAGGAACGATAAACATTATCGCTAAATGCAATGGACGGACTTACCGTCAGACATGTCTGAGCGAAGATTGAGCACAGTAGGTCGCTGAGGATGTGAGCTCGCGGAGGACCGTCGTTCGCTGCCACTGCCGCCAGTAGACTCACATAGAGACCGGCGGCTATTGCCTGCACCCGAAGAGTGCGCACTCGAGAGGCCGAAGAAGTTGAAGTCGCGAGGCCAGTAGCGTCGCATCAGACGTGCAAGCTCTGGACCGTCCACTTCCTCCTCCTGTTGCTGGGAAGAACGCTCGTTGTAGAGGCTGCGAGACATCCTATGACGCTCAGCGGCCTTGTTGGAGAGGAAGACCGCCGAAGTCTAGAGAAATAACAGCATGAGTCACAAACGACGCTCCTTGTGCAATATAGGTCAGTAGTGACATCATCGTAAATATCCTACCGATGAGCTGTGGGATTAAAACTGAGTGGAAGTCTATTGGTGGTGGTGATGATTATTATTACTATTAGGTCAGAGGTACTAGGAGTATTGGCTTGCATTTTATACAGCATCCCACACCGGACCCCGTTTGGTCTTCGAGACTTCGGGAGAAGGTGAAGAGTGCGGAAGCGCTAACTACGTCCTTTATCACTTTAAACTAAAGCCTGAGGCCATCACCTTCTGTACCAACCTGTTGGTGCACTTGGTGGACCTCATCGAAACTGATTGTCAAACATACACACACTAGGAGTGGTAGTAGCAGGATAACGACAGGTAAAAAATGGTTACTCGACCGTAGTAGTAAGTCACCAGAGTTTACCTCGGCAATTAGTCTGTTTGTCCCAGTAGAAACTGGATTTGCACCTTTTAGATTACAAGTGTATTATTAATTAAAAAAGGCTTTCAAATACTATCATAAGGTCAGTGACTATAGTTGTATGCAAATAGGGGCCCGTCGCTCTAACTTCAGTTTCGGATTTCTATCATCAGCATTTTCACTGAAATTAGATTGCGCCCAGAATTCTCTGGAAAACAAAATTGCATTAACGGCCACTTGTTTCGTGCTCCAGCATAGGTGATGAGGCCTAATTAAATCCAGCGCCGAGAATAACATCGGAAGAACTCACAGGGTACAGTACTAATGGTATGCCTCAGGCGGTGCGATAAGAAGCTTTCATAATCCACCTCAGGGCTGCAATACTTTACCACATCGCAAAGAGAGGCATAATAAAGAAAATCCTTAACCTTGACTGATTAGAATGCAATTAAATAAGGAATGTGTTGGCTTGTTGAATCGACAGACCCAAACCAAGGAAGCTATTAAAGAAACAATTTTGATCAAACGGAGAGGACATTGGGTGCTGGCCATAAAGAAGCGAAGTATCATCATAAACAATTAAGAATCCCATCCATCCCATAAGAATGAATTGAGTTATCTGTAACCCGACAAGTTTTTGCATCTATGTGAAATAACGGGAGTAATTTAATACGGGGACTTAGTATAATGTATAACCAAGATTGACAGTATAAGCAGATTCCGGAACGATAATGCTACATTTGAAGGGCTTACAACTACTTCAGCCTGGTAGTCAACGCTATGCAGTTTTGTCGTGCAGAATAAGTATTAGCGCTCCAAAATTGTCACTTTATGTAGAACAAGAGCGGGAATTATTAGTTTCCCATAACTACCAGATGAACAAGTAGTCAATAGGACGGAGACCCACGGAGAACAAACGAAGGAGAGCCATCAGCGCCCTGGCACTCTCTAACGTACATAAAAAAATGTGTCAGAAGCAACTGAGCGTATCGCTGCAGAGCTCGGCGCAGGTATTGCTCATCGTCCGACAGCTACCATGCGTTCACGAGTCATGCAAATAAAAGATCCACTGGACGTAGATGAGCAGTCTGGCGTCGTTTATCAGGTGCCATATCGCGACTGTTCTTGTAATTATACAGGGCAGACCAGGCGACGACTGAGCTCACAAATGACAAAGCACAAACGGGCAGTGCGGAGAGGCGACCCACTGTCTACCCACACGCTGGACGAAGGCCACGAATTTGACTTCTCGGGCACACGGATAATGGCACACGCCGCGAATAAGACGGGGCGAGGACTACTGGAGGCCTGGGTATCAGATTCCAACTCCATCAACAGGCATGTGGATATACGCCCCTGTTATTTTGCCATCCGTACTCGTGGTCAGAAACCACGGCCCAGTTCCTGTCCAAGCACGCAGGCTACCACGTTAAGTTCACACGCCATAACTCCAGGGGCGCGCGCAAGGGAAACACGATAAGATGGCGTGAGTAAGGACGTGGTGTGGGCATTGACCAATCACAAGCGCCACCCTCCTCCCACCCCCCTTTTCGCGTAGCCAACGCTTGTTGCTTTCTCATTTTCTCTGACGATGGCTTCTCGTGTGGAGCCGAAAGCTCAAAAGAATAAAACTGCCGTTCCAGAGATCGTGTCTTCTTTTTCTTCTTTACAACAAGAACCTGGAGCGCACATATTTGCTCCTATTCGTGAAAACGGATAGTCTTTTAGGCGTTGATTCAGCTATCTTGATCACTTTACTAGGTTTTGGTCATGACAGATATCCCTCTAAAAGAAATTTCAGAAAAGGTAAAACCTCAGGAGCACGAAAACATTTGTTACCGACTATGATTAGTAAAGAGGCTATGTGCTAAGCTAAGACTTGTTAAAAAGAATGGCACCAAGCTACAGCTGAAATTGAGAACGAGCAGTCTTGACCTTCGTGTACAAAGCTAAATATCGTGCTCATCATCCCCGGAAGAGGAGGAAAAAGAAGAGGGGGCAAGTACTGGGACCAAATTGTATTCTTGCTGACGTTTCGA